GTTAACCTTCACCGTCTGAAAGATCGTCATCTTGATATGAATATCATATTTCTCGCTCATCTCCCCAGAACCCGTGGATGGATCAGGCTGACCTTTGAGCATTGTGTGTTCATTCTCAGCGGCGACAAACTGTGCACTTAATCATGTTTTTTTATGCAATAATAGCTCGCTTTTGCGAATTAATAGCAGCGCTATCGTATGCCTCAAAAGTTGCTTCGCTATTCGAACGCAGCAGCAAAAGTTGTTCACCGCCTGCTTAGTTTTCGGCGCAGGCTGGGCGAGTTCCCTGGAGAGAGCCGCGGCCCGGCCACCTCAGCGCGCGCCCGCGGGCGTCTGGCAGAACGAGACCACGCTCAGCGGCTCAGCGGCACAGCCTCGTCGCCCCGACACGGGTCTCTCACTGATTGAATTATACCGGTCACAGCAAGGGCGAACTCAGAAGATACTCAAGAAACAGGACAGCGCTGCCAGCGATGAGGACGTTCAATGGCAACAGCTGCTACGGACGCAGGCAGGACGTGGCTTCAATGAGGATGACAGACCCTGTCCTAGCCAGCTTTCCAAAAATAGCGTTGTTTTATGGATGAATCACGGCGCCCACAAAGAAGCGTTTTCTTATGCCGCGTGTTTTGCCTCTTTCTCCGGCGGCGGCGGCGGCGGCGCGAAGCTGCGAACGGAATGCTGGCAGTGAGAACGCGCTAATGGACGGCCCCGGTAACAACAGTTGTCAGAATGATAAACGATCACGTGACAGAGCTCGTTCGCATGACACCGGTCACGGCACAGATGTCAGCTGATAAATTACTATCAGTTATCGTGCTCATACCAGAGAACAACATCGATCAGAACTGTTGTTCTGTTTAACAATCGCAGGACGCAGTTATCAATTTTATACATGTGCCCCAGCCGAGGGTTACCCTCCCCCCTTACTCATCCCTTAGTGCGCTAGAGCTTCAGAAAAGGAACGTATTGGGCGTTTGCTATGCGGTGATTACTGATAATTAACCAGTTTTAAGGTTTCAGGTCAGTCGATAACCTCAGAGCTCAGCACTCAGCAGAGATTGGGTTTCCCCGCCCAGGAAGAAAAGATCCTATGTACGCCCTATAATAATTCGATCGGTAACACCCAACTGACGCTTAGGTATTAGCCTGTCGACGTGCCGGGTGATTATCAGTAATTGTTGGCGTTCAACCTGCCACAGATTAAACACTGTTCCTCGTTCCACTGTCTTTAAAAATGGGTTTATCAGAAGCAATGGCCTTGCATCCACGCCATTAACCCTCGCCGGACCTATTGGTTTTCTACATACGCGCCGGCCGAGGGGGGGGGGCGGGTACGACCCCCCTCGCCGTTTCGCCCCTGGTGGAGCTAGCGCGTCGCAGAAAAAACGAGCGTGTGCGCCGTTACGAGACGCAGAGATTGGTACCCGATTTTAAGGTCCTAGGTCAACCGGTGACCTCTGAGGTCAGGTCAAGTGCCCCAGGGTACGGTTCAGTTTTTGGTGAATAACTTCGCAAAAAACGGCCGCAGAGCGCCGATTTTGGCAGCATCGTGTTCGCCTCGCTCAGGCGCGTCGAATGATATACTTTTTGTCCTCAACTTGGGGTGTTGACCTCAGGTCAAGGTCATGTCAGCACCCCCAGGTCACGAAGTTGGTCGAAAGAGGTCATGTTGCATATCATTCGATTCGGCAGGCCTACCTGAGTCCATTGGTGGCTTTCCCGACTCGCTAGCTCAATTTGATCAAGAGTTATTGACGAAAAACTAATATGACCTTGATGACGTCATAAATGACGTCACGCAAGGTCAACATTGCAAAAGTGACGCATCTAACATTGTAAGGAGTGCATCAAATCACGATTCTGTGTGCTTGAGATTGTTGGAGATCGTTCCCGGCGCCAGAATAGCAGTTTTCATTTTTCCCCATCGACTTATAATGGTGAGGTCACGAAAATGACCTGACCTCATATGACCTTTAGGAAAAATCTGAGATATACAAGTTGTGGGACTCATAATGGATACTAGATCCTGCAAGTTTCATTTCCCTGTGACATCTCTTCTGGCAGTGAGGGCGTTGCGAATTTGCGACATCTGAAGACCGTGCAGAGGTTCACTTATGACGTCATAGGTCAGTGACCTGACCTGACCCGAAAATGCGGTTGGTGTCAAAAGATGCGGCTTGGATCAAAGGTCAGGTATGCCAGGTTTCAGCTCTCTATCGCCAGCGTGTTCGGAGCTATCGCGAAAAAGCCCTAGGGGGGGGGCGGCACCCGCCCCCCCCCCCCTCGGCCGGCGAGGGTTAAACTGCAATGGGCTATGTGCATCGATACCTCGAGCGATCATCTTAATGAAATGACCGATACCCTTCGAAGCTGATAACGGCGGCTGCAGGAAGTTGTGTAAATGCATCTTCAACCCTCCGGCCCGAAACGATTCTCTCTTTTGTGGGGTAAAATTCTTATTAACTCGCGATCAGCTGGAGGGGGGGGGGGCAGAATCTTCCCCCTCCCGAAGTTAGCCAATATCTTATAGACGCTTTCAGCCAGCTACATCCAACTTTCAGTACTTACATATGTCATTTATTTAATATGACGTATTTGAGGAAGTATTAACCCTCGCCGGCACAGGCCATTTTGCGTCCTTCGACGGCACAAGGGGGGGGGGGTTGGTACGACCCCCCCTCGCGTTTGGCCCCTGATCGAGCTAGAGCTTCGCGGAAAAAAACGAGCGTGTTGCCCGTCACGAGAGGAAGCCGATGATACCCAATTTTAAGGTCCTAGGTCATCGGGTGACCTTCCAGGTCAGGTCAATAACCCGAAAACCGGGAAAATCGGGACCTGTTAGAAAGTCGTAAAGTGTGGCTGCTATGTGGTTTTCCGGGGTGCTGATCACGAATATCATGCTAGTTTTGATCACAGATGATGTCTTGATGCATTTAGGCCAGGTCGGGACAGGTCAGGTCAGATCAACCGGTAGGAGTTGTGACGAGTATTCGTAATACGTGTCAACCGCCTCTGACAGCTTCGTAACATCAAACATGTTACGAAGGCACCAAAACTACTTCGTAAATGTTCAAATGGTTGCTGAATTCGAATTCAGCTCCAAAAACTAGCCTAGAAACATGTAAAACTCGAAAAAGTGAACCGAGGTCACCCGAGGTCACCAAAGGTCAATGACCTGACCTGACCTTCAGGTGACCTTGACACCCACCCTAATGTATGGGAGCAACATCAAATCACATGTTTGAACGTTTGAAACCACGAAAAGCTTGCAAACGCGCGGCTAATGCGAGCCGACATACGCCGAATCGCGATTTCGGCCAAACATGGTCACGTAAAAGAGGTCACAGGTCAAAGGTCATTGGGGTCAGGGTCATGAAATTTTTCAGGGAACGTGTAAAATTGATCAATGCGAGGGTACATTTCGTCGCGATCGGCCGCTTTTTACGCGAGTTATTCGCGAAAAATCTTAGGGTTGCATCAACCCCCCCCCCCCCCCCCCTGTGCCGGCGAGGGTTAAACGACATCCGTTGGAAATATTTGAAAACACTACCTTTAAGTGCCATTTTAACCTTTACGCCATTTTCATTCATAAAAAAAAAACTCGAGAACTTCCAGCCAGTGTAAGATCTTCAGTTTTTAAAGAAACAAGACGTAAAAAGGGTGGAGCTTTGTGCCGAGCTGGTGGTGCCCGAGCTCTCCCAATGCCACGCCGGCTTGGGGCCTTGAAGCCGCAACAGACAGCGGAGGCCAAGGTCACCGCTAGGGCGGCGGCGGATTTGATGCGCCCGAGCACCCCTTCGGCACAAAGTTCCACTTCCACCTATGAAAAAGGTGTATGTGATTTTACTCTTTTTGAATGCTATTTCGTTTTTTCTTTAACTTTGGATTTTATCCAATTTATAAATATACAATTCTGTGAATCTCCATGTTCCGTTATGCGTCGTATCATGTCACTTCTAGCTCGCAAATATCAAATAAATAAAACATTTCGCCTTGGGCGACAACATGCATACATTCATCTCAAGCAGTTGATGGGCGCTAGCTTTGCCATGCCACACAAAAAGCGACAAGCATAACACAGCGAAAGTAATGGATGACTGGTCCGGCACAAAAAGATCTGGGCTGCTCTGGGGGCCATTCATCACAGACTGACATGAGATTTGGGGCTATCGATAGAAAGCAATAATGCGGTGCGGCTTCACATTTTGCGCTGCAGATAAATACGGAACTGATTTATGGCGATCTCGTCAGTGTGACGGGATCTATCTCCTTATAGTCTTTGCTAAAAATGTTGGGTTTCGACGCTGGTTGTACGGCAAACTTTTTTACCCACGCCTCGGTGGAACGGGTGGCGTTTTCGCATCCCGTCACTCTTGTTAAGGCCTCGCAAAAAAAAAAAACAGTGCGAGGAGTCGGTGTTCCACAGTAATTAGGAGCCGTTCAAGCCGGTTGCATTTATTAAATATATGTATATTCGAGATTTAGCGAGCAGGTAATACTTAAAAATTCCAGTAATTTTGTGTACCTAAGAGCACTTTTCATAATGCCCGCCTACGGGCACGAGCAGACGAATAATGAGCTTTCTACTGCCTCGTTAGCTTTGTTTCGAATAGTGACCGAGCCGCTCGTTAACTTATGTTTTGAAATAGTCAGACAAATTGCTGTATGAAATAATGTAAGGACAACTCCTGCCACAAAAACAAATGAATCTTTTAAGCTGCTCCTTTAAAACGGAACAAAAACATGTTTATTTATCAATTTTTTCACTAACAGCAATCTAACGATTCATCAGCAAACTTTATAAGCTTTAACCATGCATACTAAGTCAAGTATTTCAACTTTATCAGTCGTCACTTGGTTAGTGATTGGGATGCAGTGCAAACATTAAATTCGAGCAGAGGCATGCAAGTGCAAAGCAACTGTGTGAATGACTAGTTCTATACAGTATACGCATTTTACTACAGCCTACCTCACCCCGCCCTTTTTCTCACCTGTGTGTAATGTGCAGAGGTCGCGAGCGTCCTCACAAGTGGTGCAGCGGTATGTCGCCGCGACTGTCGCGGGTGATCTGCGTCTCCTGCGTGTCGTAGCCGCCCTGGCTCCTGCCAGTGGCCTGGCTGGCCACCAGCAGCAGTCCCTGAGACCGTTCGGCGGCCGTCGTCTCGGTGCCGCCGCCGCGCCGCCACGCGCACGGGCAGACCCGCTGCAGCAGCTCCACAAACTCCTTCCGGAAGTTGTCGTTGAGCCAGCCGTAGAGGATGGGGTTGGAGCAGGCGGACGACATGCCGACCATGTGGCAGACGGCGTACACCACGCGCGTGCTCTCCACGGCGCTGCTGTCGCGCACCGCCAGCAGGTCGTACACCAGGTTGCAGACGTTCAGCGGAATCCACGAGACGGCGTAGATGAGCGAGATGGCGATCAGCAGGGTGTTGGTGCGACGAGTGCGCTGCTCCCGGCCGTCGCGCACGCTCGCCGTCCGGCTGGCCATCGAGGACATGCGGAAGCGCAGCTTGCGCGTGATGCCGGCGTAGGCGATGCTGACGGTGATGATGGGCACCACGTACTGGCAGAGGATGCTGAAGAGCGAGTAGTAGGCGCGGCCGCGCTCCAGCGACCAGTCCTCGATGCAGTAGTCGATGGCGTCCGGCAGTCCGGGCAGCGACTGGTTGAGCGGGTGGTGCTCCAGACGCCGCACCACGAACAGCGGCGAGGCGAGCAGCACGGCCAGCGTCCACACGCCGGCCAGGATGATGCACACCTCGGCCAGCTGCAGGCTCTTGCGCGTCGGGTAGACGATCACCTGGTAGCGGTCGAGCGCGATGGCCGTGATCGAGAGGGACGAGACGAACACCGAGACGCCCTCCAGGCCGCCGAACAGCTTGCAGAGGAATGCCGTGTCGCCGCCCAGCGGCCAGTACCGCGACAGGATCTCCATCAGCGTCAGCGGCATCGTGATCAGGCAGAGGATCAGGTCGGAGACGGCCAGGTTCAGGATAAACATGTTGCGCGCCGTCTTCATGGCCGCCTTGCGCAGCACGGCCGTCACCACCAGGCCGTTGCCGATGGCGCCGAAGCAGATGAGGTGGGCGTACAGCACAATCAGCGCGTAGTAGGCGCCGTCGCTGACACTACGGTTCATGCTGATCCGCTCCAGGAACGCGTCGTCCACGTGGCTGTTGTGTATCCGCTCGGCGAGCCGGCGCACCTCGGCCAGCACCGTGGCCTCGTCTCCGGCGACGTACTGTCCGAGCGCGGCCAGGTCGCAGCCGGCCGAGCTGTTCCACACCATCGGGCACTTCTCGCGGAACAGAGCCGTCGGCAGGCCGTGCAGCGGGCTGCCGGAGGTGGCGTTGTCGGCCGCCAGCTCGGGCGCCGCCGTCATCGCCGCTGCTCCCGGAGCGCCGGCCATGTTCGCCGCTGTCGCCCCCGCTCGGAACGGCGCCGCCACCGACCGGAGCCGTCCAACCGCGCAGCGCGGGCCCGCCCGGCCGACTGTCTCCGCTGCCGCTGCCGCGCCGACGGCCGCCCTCCGACCCACCTGGAACGGCAGAGCGGAGTTCAGGGACTCGGCGGGCCCACACGCCGGCCACAGCGCCGGATACGCCGACATATGATAGGTCGATCGGGGGCGGATGTACCAAGTAAACGCAGAAGACCAAAGTAGAATTAAATGTTACATAACCACAACTTCTTAGAGTAACAGGAGCTCAACAATGCCTCTATCAGATAAAGCTTTTTTGTCCCAACCATCAAATCGCATGCCTCATACTTCAACGAGTCGAACGTTGACTCGTTGGGCACAACATCAATAAACGGCCAATCCAGAGACGGAAGGAATTAAGAATTGCTATCATTTACTGCCGGTAAGCACGGTCATTTAATAAAAAATAACAATACGCTATCTTATATGTTTAATATACGTTAATTTCGAGCACTGCATGACACCTTTCATGACGCCTGACATTCGCCGGTGATTAGGAATAAGATCTGGCATTGGTTTGGGGAACAGCTAAACAGATCCTCTTCCTCTGTCTGTAGTCTGCACCATTATTTGTTGCCATGTATGGCTTGGTATGACGCGCGTGCTTGTGGATATTTTATAACGATGTTCGCCCCTACGATGTTGATCGCGCGCTCCTTCCGGGCGCGAGCCGGAAGGAAAGCCCGCTGTTTTGTCTGTCCATTTATTATGCCCGCTAGGGACTCGGCGGCAAAGTGTTCAACAGGCTGCTACATTACGCTACTTGGATGCGAGGCTCGGGGGCCGGTGAAGTTTGGCTGTCCGGGGCTGAGCCCGACAGGGCTGCTGATTGACGAGACAGCCCAGCCGGCCGGGCTTTCCAATGCAATCAGCGGATCAGGGAGCTCGGTCGATGCTGAACTGGAGAAATTCTACCTGAGCTGCCGCGCTGGCAAAAGTATTGCTCAAGCCTCAGCTGCCAACTCTATCGCAGTTGGTCGGCACACGAGACCTATCCTTTTTAGTCTGTTTTCATTGTCAGGATAAATGCATTTTGGCTTTGTTGCTGAGCTAGCATCAGCTTATATTAAATACCTATGAATGGTTTCCTTTTAATTTTCAGCATAACATGGACAACAGCCGTGCCATAAATATTGTGCTGCTTTGAAATATGGAAAAACAGATAATGAATTCAGGTAATGTTTCAGAAATATAAATCAAATATAATTCCCAGACGGGTACCCGCTGTGCTTGAAATTGCAGGCAGTCACTGATCTTGTTTATGCAATGGCAGCATTCCAGTAAAACTCTAACAGTCTAAAAAATAAAAAGGACAGACAGAGTTATAATTGTTTGAAAACTTCAAGCAAGAACAAGGCTTCGCGGCGCCGATACGGAGGTCTGCTGCCACGTGACTGCAGCACGCCGCTCGTGCCGCGGTCTGCGCCCTCTGCCAGTTGCCATGACCCCGGAGCCGTGCAGGCTGGTCTCTCTCGGCCACTTACCGGCGGTGATTGGTGCCGACAGTCGGTGCATCTGCCTTATTAGACGGCGCCGCGGCGGCCAGCATTACTTACTGTACTTTTACAGCCACACAGACAGGCACACACAGACACAGACACACAGACACAGACACACAGACATAGACACACAGACACAGACACACAGACACAGACACACAGACACAGACACACAGACACAGACACACAGACACAGACACACAGACACAGACACACAGACACAGACACACAGACACCAGAGCTGGGCATTGCGCAACTTAAGTCCGCAACTCCGCAACTCCGCAACTTGCGGACTATCCTCTTGGTAGCGGAGTTACGGATCGGCTACCAAGCACAAAAAAGTTGCGGAGTTGCGAGTTGCGGAAGCGAAAAATTCTAAAGCGCAACCGATACCGGGGCCGCCACCGCTGACGGGGGCGAGAGAGAGAGAGAGAGAGAGAGAGAGAGAGAGAGAGAGAGAGAGAGAGAGAGAGAGAGAGAGAGAGAGAAATTCGCCACTTCAAAAGGTACTACCTATCAGACATAACACTGTACTTCAGGACTAACCCTCGTACGGCGTTTGCCAGCGTCTAACGTGTAGGGGGGGGGGGTCGGTTAGACCCCGCCCCCTGCCGTTCGGCCCCTGATCGAGCTAGAGCTTCGTGGAAAAAAACGAGCGTGTTGCCCGTTACAAGAGGAAGCCGATGATACCCAATTTTAAGGTCCTAGTTCATTGGTTGGCCTTCCAGGTCAGGTCAATGACCCATAAGTCGGGAAATTGGGACCTGCTAGAACTTCGAAGAAGTGAAGCTGTTATGGTTTTTTTCGGGGTACTGATCATGTATTTCATGTTAGTTTTGATCACGGATGATGTCTTCATGCATTTAGGCCGTCAGGTCAGGTCAGGTCAGGTCAACCAGTAGGCGTCCTGCCGGCTATCTATAGTAGGTGTCAACTACGACTGACGGCGCCGTAACATGTAAAGAACTAGAAAGCACTAAAACTACTTTGATAATGTTCAAATGGATGCGAAACTCGAAATCAGCCTAAAAAACTACCCTAGAAACATGCAAAACTCGAAAAAGTGAACCAAGGTCAATGGTCATCAAAGTCAATGACCTTGACCTGACCTTCACGTGACAATGACACCCACCATAATGCATGGGACGAACATCATTTCACATGTTTCGACGTTTACAATCACAATAGACTGTAAACGCGCGGTTCTGAAAGTTTCGTCGCGATCGTCCGCTTTTTGCGCGAGTTATTCGCGAAAAACCGAGGGGTGTCCATCCAACCCCCACAGCCTACACATGCGAGGACTGAAACTGATAAAACATTGTACCTAATAGAGGTGGGTAGCGGAATTGCGGAGTTGCGGAGTTGCGAGTTGCGGTTTTACGATCTGCAAAATAGTTTCGGAGTTGCGATTGCGCTTTGGGTACCTCAGGTTGCGGAAGGTAGCGGTAGCGGTTTTCAAATTTCGGTAGCGATGCCCACCTCTGACAGACACAGACACACAGACACAGACACAGACACACAGACACAGACACACAGACACAGACACACAGACACAGACACACAGACACAGACACAGACACACAGACACAGACACACAGACAGACACACAGACACAGACACACAGACACAGACACACAGACACAGACACAGACACACAGACACAGACACACAGACACAGACACACAGACACAGACACACAGACACAGACACAGACACACAGACACAGACACACAGATACAGACACACAGACACAGACACAGACACACAGACACAGACACACAGACACAGACACACAGACACAGACACACAGACACAGACACACAGACACAGACACACAGACACAGACACACAGACACAGACACACAGACACAGACACACAGACACAGACACACAGACACAGACACACAGACACAGACACACAGACACAGACACACAGACACAGACACACAGACACAGACACACAGACACAGACACACAGACACAGACACACAGACACAGACACACAGACACACAGACACACAGACACAGACACAGACACACAGACACAGACACAGACACACAGACACACAGACACACAGACACAGACACACAGACACAGACACACAGACACAGACACACAGACACAGACACACAGACACAGACACACAGACACACAGACACACAGACACAGACACACAGACACAGACACAGACACACAGACACACAACACACAGACACAGACACACACACAGACACAGACACACAGACACAGACACACAGACACAGACACACAGACAGAGTGCAGATAGAGGAGCGCCGATAGCCAACTGGTTACCGGCGACCGCTGTACTAATTATCCGAATCTAGCCACGGTTGGTGACCACCGCAGCGGCTTGCCGTAACCAGGGTCTGGTGGGGTATTCCCCGAGCCTGCACACGTTGTGACTCTTCTTTCTGCCCCTGCTGGGATGGGACTGCTAGTGCACTAGCAGTCCCAGCTGGTCTGGGTGCGCACTGTACAGTTGGTTGGGGGCCGTGATTCCCAAAGGACCAAAATGTAATAAAACTTGAAAAGCTGTAAATGGGGCAGTCTGACCGTTATCTAAGATACCCTTTTAACTGACACCGACGATGCATATTCGATTTAATTTTGGAATAAATTTTAGCCTACGCGCACTCATACATGTATGTAACATCTACACCACGACAACACGGTCGTTATTACACAATCTCATCAATTCCAGGAAATTCTGGGATGATGAAACTTTTGGAAAAAGTAGCCGGCGGATGTTGATATCAGTTCCACATACGGCATCAATTTGCTAACATTCAACGCCCTCCCCATCTCTTAAGCCTGCCAATCCTCCCAACTCAAGTGATCTGAAGACCGGATCTTGCCGTAGGTTCAAGTCTTACGTCAACGTTGATATTACCATTACCCGTGAAACACAAATAACCAAATTCACGACAATGATGAAACCGATCCAATATTTTTGTTCAGTGACTTTTACGCAGTTAAGGAACTAGATTTAAAATAGTTACACCATATACATAGTCACACAGTCCCAGATATCAATGAAATATCTACTAAAACTCTCACCCTAGAACCCTGCAACATCTGTATGGTCCTGTAAACTGTATCACTTTTTCATAGCGAAGCATCAACTACGTGGAAGCTGTTGATATAAGCACACGAGTGGAGCTAGAATGATGAGAATAAATTACCTATCCTCCCCTTGTTAGCAACATCTTCTATCACCCTGTGCCTATTCTTTCTCCGAGCTGCCAGACCGTTCTTTCCGACCTGACCTGACGACATTGCCCTTTTAGACAATGTTGCATTTATATTGAGAGTAAAATTCTATTAAATTGCAAATCAAAGCACCGGCGCTGGGAAATCCAATCAGTTGAACAAAGCTGGCCGGACGACAGTCGGCTCCGGAAGGCACCTGGCTCACTCAGCCAACTTCAATTCTGCTCTAGTCTCAGCGCGAGCCGCGGCTCTCCGGTCTTACCTGGGGGCT